GGGAGAGGGTGTAAATCTCGCGCCGGGCCGTACCCATATCCGCAGCAGGTCTCCAAGGTGAACAGCCTCTGGCATGTTGGAACAATGTAGGTAAGGGAAGTCGGCAAGCCGGATCCGTAGCTTCGGGATAAGGATTGGCTCTAAGGGCTGGGTCTGTCGGGCTGGGGCTCGAAGCGGGGCTGGGCCGCACACGAGGCACCGCTGGCCCCCCTCTCCCCCCGCCCCCCCGCCCCCCGCCTGGGCCCACCCCTGCGGCCCTTCCTCTCTGGCGCCCCGACCCATGCATGCGGCTTTTTCACCCCCACGTTGCCCTCCTCCCTCTCCCTGGGGAGGGGGGCCGGACGGGGGCGAGGTCATGGCCATAGCAGCGCTTCCCCCTCCTCCGCATTGGGTCAGGGGGAGGTCCCCTGCGGGGCCCGGACACTTGGGGGGCCGTGGCTGCGGTGGTAGAGACTCTGGCCATGAGCCGGGCCCTTCCCATGGATCGCCCCAGCTGCTGGTCGCGCCTGGGGTGATGTCGGGTGTCCACCCCTCTTGCCTCTTGGCGCTCGCTGGTCTCTCCTGCCCCAGGCCGGGGTTCCGCACAGCGCCTCGCCTCGGCCGGCGCCTAGCAGCCGACTTAGAACTGGTGCGGACCAGGGGATCCGAATGTTTAATTAAAACAAAGCATCCTGAAGGCCCGCGGCGGGTGTTGACGCGATGTGATTTCTGCCCAGTGCTCTGAATGTCAAAGTGAAGAAATTCAATGAAGCGCGGGTAAACGGAGGAGTAACTATGACTCTCTTAAGGTAGCCAAATGCCTCGTCATCTAATTAGTGACGCGCATGAATGGATGAACGAGATTCCCACTGTCCCTACCTACTATCCAGCGAAACCACAGCCAAGGGAACGGGCTTGGCGGACTCAGCGGGGAAAGAAGACCCTGTTGAGCTTGACTCTGGTCTGGCAGGTGAGGAGACAGGAGAGGTGTAGAATAAGTGGGAGGCCCCTGGCGCCCCTTCCCTGAGTCCCCACGAGGGGGCGGGGAGGGGGGCACGCCGGCCTTGAGGGCCGCCGGTGAAATACCACTACTCTGATGGTTTTTTCACTGACCCAGTGTGGCCCCTCGCCCTTCACACAATGCACATTCCTGGTGAACCTGGTGCTAAGCCATTCGTAGACGACCTGCTTCTGCATGGGGGTTTCCTACGTAGCAGAGCAGCTCCCTCGCTGTGATCTATTGAAAGTCAGCCCTCGACACAGAGTTTGTCTCCCTCCCGGCCTCTCTCTCCTTGCACACCAGGGTGGTAGCAAGGCGGTGTAGGGAGGGAGGGGCGGGGATCCGAGGGGAATGTGGCGAGCATTAATCACACATTTCAAACCAGGTTGCCAGCTTCACGCAGCTCCTGCCACTGCTCCCCGGGCTCATCCTCAGAGGAGCCCTGCCCGGACCCCTGAGCAGAGGCAGGAGGGAAAGTGCTAACTGCATGGTGCCGAGTGCTTCATCTCTTTTAGGTAAAGTCTAAATATGTTTCCAGTTTTTCATAGCTGTTAACCCTTCCCGAGGATGTTTTTCCATTGGTTTTTTTTTTTAGAGAGAGAGCAGGGCAGGGAGAAACGGGGAGAGAAACATCAATGTGAGAGAGACACATTGATTGGTTGCCTCCTGCATGCTCCCCGATTAGGGCCAGGGATCCAGCCTGAAACTGAGGTAGGTGCCCTTGACCGGGAATCAAACCCTTGACCCTTCAGTCCACACTCCGCTCTAACCACTGAGCCCCGACCAGGGCTGCATTGCCGTTTTTGAGATTTAAAAAGGTCAAATACTGCCTGACCCAGTCTTCAAGTGGTGCCTCCCCTGCCCTTCCGCTGCTGCAGACTCCTCTGCCTGCAGAGCCTGCGGCCACGATGCCTGCAGCCTCAGTTCCCGGGCTCCCGGGCTCCCCAGCGGCTCTGTGGCTCTGCGATGCCCTAGGTGAGCGGCAGGTGTTCCTTCCCCAGGAGGCGGCTCCTTTCTGCAGCGTCAGCGGCGTCAGGGTGGCTGCTGGCCACGCCCACGACCAGCCCCCTCCTCTGTGCAGCCACCCAGGGCTTCCTCCCCCGCCTGAGTCTCCCAGCCCCTGCCTTCCAGCAGTTTCAGTCACTGACGTCGTTCCTTTGTGATACGCGAGTGTTTTTCTTTCCTTTTTTTTTTTTTTGCCAATTTCAGATATTTCACCCTGACAGGTCCTTGCAGGTGGGACTGTGCTGGGGCCATAAACATGATGGTCTCTCACAAGGGGGTGGCGCTCGCTGTTTCAGGGAGAAGCTGAGGCTTGGGCAGAGCTTTCCTGGAGGACGGAGGACGGGCTGGGGAGAAACTGGGAGGGGCTGTCAGGCCGGAGACAGGCCGCCTGTGGGGAGAGGGGGGAGGGGAGGGCTGGGAGAAAGGCTTAGGCATGGGTTGAACGACCCTTTCACAGGGGTCGCCTAAGACCATCGGAAAACACACATATAATTACATATTGTTTTTGTGATTAATCACTATGCTTTAATTATGTTCAATTTGTAACAGTGAAATTGGGGGTCAGCACATGAGGAACTGTATTAAAGGGTCACGGCGTTAGGAAGGTTGAAAACCACTGGCTTAGAGTGTGTTCCCTTCTCAGAAAGTTCCAGCAGAGCGAGCTGCGGGATTCTCCCAGAGGAGGGCCAGGGCAGGGGAGGGGGCAGAGCGGAGCCCTTTGACCACAGGGAGGTGGCAGCTTGTGTGGAGGCAGGTCCCTCCTGTGACTGTGCGGGCGGCTGGGGACCTGCGGGACCAGCCCTTCACTCACCAACGACTTCCTTTCCAGGCTCGGGAGGAACCGTCTCGCTTCCAGTTCTTGCCGGACGCTCTGAGCACGTTTTGAGTCATTTCTTAGGAAATGAAAATCGGGAGAAGGTGCGAAATCGCCTGAGGGCCTGGGTTCCCGCTCCCCGGGTCCCTTGAAGGTCAGGGAGCAGCAGTCTCCTCCCCTGGGTCACTGACTGGCTCGGCCCGTCCCCACGTCCCTGGGAGGCGGTGAGGTCACCCTGGAGAGACTGGGAAGTCTGTCCTCCACGCTTTCTCCTTGAAGTAAACTTTAAAAATAAATAAAAAGCACTAATTTTTATAACACACACAGCAGTCTATTTTCTTTCAATGGATCCTATTTAAGAAATCCTGGGAGCTGCTGGCAGCAGCTACAGTGACTGTGACATGAATGTGTGAATGTTCCCTCCTAAAGCCCCAGCTCTGCAGCATGTCATCCTCATGCAGCTTCCAGTTGCTGGCCAGGTGCCTCTGTCAGTGAGGAGACAGTGTCCACAGCGCGAGGGCAACCTGTGGCTGGTCACGGGGTTTTCTGTATCTTCCAGTAAAGTGTCCTGACAAGTCTTCCACAGCCTCTTTTTAAAAATGTGTTTTTATTGATTTCAGAGAAGAAGGGAGAGGGAGATAGAAACATCAGTGATGAGAGAGAATCATGGATTGGTGCCTCCTGCACGCCCCCCACTAGGCATTGAGCCCCAAACCCAGGCTTGTGCCTTTGACTGGAATCAAACTCAGGACCCTTCAGTCCCCAGGCCAATGCTCTATCCACTGAGCCACACAGTCTCTTCACCAGCTTCTTACCCACAATTCTCTTACCTTCTGAATGTCAGTATTCCGGGTTCTGTGTGGGTGGGGGGAGCATCAGGTCATCATTAGGGATTTGGGTGAGCGAGTGCATGACAGCAAGGAAATACCATCTGGGAGAAGTTCTTTCAACTCGCGCCACCTCAGCTGTATTTCATTTAGTTCAATATATTATTCCCCCTGGCTCCCTCTGACCCTGGGTTACTGAGAGGCGCTGCTGTGACCGGGTGAGCTCAGTGCGCGGTGGCCCTTCTGCTGCTTCCTGTGCTCGCTGCTCTGTTTCCAGGCAGTTTGGCAGCACACTGGCGGCCTTGGTCCTTTCAGGTGGGCTCAGGCTCATTCACGGCACAGACACGTGTTCTGTGGCCTGGAAACACGCGTGTCCTGTGTTGTGTACAGTGCTCTGTAAATGTGGGTCGGGTGGGCTTGGCTGGTGGTATTTTTGAGTTGTGTATTTTGTTGGTTTTTGTCTAGCGGTGTGAACTGAGTGATGTGGAAATCTCCACATGTAATTGTAAATTTGTTTATTTCTCTCAGTTCTTTTAGGTTTCACCTCAGGAATATAGGTCTGTTTCTTGGTGCATGCACAGTTCAGATTGCCATGTCGTTTTATTAAAAAATTGATTAATTATTATACAATATCTTTTTCATTTGCTGGTAATTTTCTCTGGTCAACTTTATCTGATATTAATGTATTTATGTCTGCTTTCCTTCGAGTAATGTTTACATCATATACTGTCTTAGTTCCTATCTGTCTTAGTTCCAACACCCGACAGGTTATATAATTTTAAAATTGTATTATATGTAGTTCTAAAATGTCTATTAGTTCTTATATATTCTGGTGTTTTTTACAGAAATTTGAATGCTTTATACTTTTTAGTAGCTTCAAACATGTTTATAATTGCTTATTTAAGTACTTTCATAATGGAAGCCTTAAAATCTTTGTCAGATAATCCTGATATTGCTGGTATTTCTTTGTTGACTTTTTTTTTTAAATTTAGATTGAGGGCTTTCTGTTTCTTGGCACAATGAGGGATATTTATTTGAAACTTGGACATGCGGGTGTTGTGCTATGAGACTCGGGCTTATTTAACTCCTCCCGCTGCAGCTGGCAGACTGACACCCTCCAGGGAATTTCAAGTCTCCTCCCAGCTTTCGTTGGCGCTGGAGGGAGCAGGTTCCTTCCCATGGACAGGCGTCCCCCTCGCCCTCCAGGAGCCTGTTGGAGAGGAGGGAACCCCGTCCGTCCCCCCCCACCCCCCCACCCCCCCCACCCCCGTTGGGGTTAGAAACCCGGCTCAGCTCTCTGGCCCGGCCCGCAGAGGGTCAGAGGATTCGTTATTCCTGTTGCGGTGGAGCTACAATCTCCCACGCCCGGTGCGTCATGGCGGCCCAGGCCAGGGTGTTTGGATGAAGCAGGGTAGTTATTATCTAAAAGATTTCTGTCTTTGTGAGATACCACTTTCCTAGCTTTTTGGATAGAGAAAGCGGCTTCTTTGAAGGGCATTTTTATCTGTACTTGTTTGTGTTTCTGGGTTACAAGCTTCTTCGGGACCAAGTCTGTGTCAAACAACACGCAGACAGAAACCCCAGGCAGAGGCTCGCAAGCACATTCCGACAGGCACCGGCGCATGAGGACACACTCCCAACACCCACACTCGCAAGTAGCTGTGAGAGGAAACACCAGCCACTCCTCACCTCCTCATGTTTTGGGTTGGAGATCTCTCATTAATTACTGATTCTCTCCACCTTTCAGAGCCTCTCTATGTTTGTTTTATACATACAATAGCCAAGGATTTTAGTAATGTGACGGGGAATAATAACTTTACACTCTGACTAACCATGAAATCGAACTAGAATAAAATGTACTAACGAACTTACACAAAGGACCTCTGCACTAATGTTTCCTTATGAGCATCCTGCAGGCACCAGCAGCTTCAGGCTGTACAAGGAATAGCGTTGGCCACATGATGCTGGCTTACACAGGTTGCCAACCACAGGAATGTGGCTCGCACTGACCAGCTCCAGGTGCTGACATTAAAGATCGGTATCAGGACCAGCAAGGACACTCAGCGTGTCCACAGCCCCTCCGCCAGGTCTCCCTGTTCCTCTTGCCTTCTCCCTCCCTATAAAAACCCCTACATGAACGGGACAATAAGGTGGTCTTTGGGATGGGAGTCCACCATCTTCTCAGGCAACTGACACTTGAATAAACCATTTTCCTCACACCAGCCCCTGCTTCTTGGGACTGGCTTTCAAAGTGGCCAGCAGCTGAACCTGGTTTGCAATCAGGATTTGGCAAGCAGCCCCAGAGGCGCGCTCAGCTGCTTGTGGCCATCTGACTCTGTGCCAGGAACTCACAGGGACTTCCCAGAGCTGTGGAGGGGTCTTTTAAATCTCAGGGACTCTCCCTGTCCCTCTCACCGCATCAGCTCCCTATAAATGATTTGCTGGTGAAAGTAAATGGTCTTTGGGGGGTCAGCTGGCTCCAAGACTGAGCAAGTCCAGCTGGCATACACCAAAAGTCCTCTCACTGCCGCCTGGGCTGGCTGCTGTCTGGACTCAGCAACGAGACATTTCCGGGTTGGTTAGCAGGGAACAGAGCTCGGAGGCTTTAATCCAGGTTTTCCTACGGGAGGATTTTGGGTTTGATTTGAGAGCCCCTTCTGTCTGGAATGCCTCTTTGGTTACAGTTGCTCTTCGCTTGCTTTCTTATATTTGGGGGACTTGCTTTGATGGCTGCTGTCTTTGTGGCATTTGGGCCTCGTAAAGGTCACTCATGGCATCGATTGCTGTGAGGTGAGTCTAAGGCAAGTGTCTCGGTCCCTCCTCCCAGGCCCTACGCTGCCCTGAGCAGGTCCTGCAGCCAGTGCCGTCCCCATGATGGCTCAGAGGAGGCCCCTGCTCACTTGGTAAGTTTGCGACCAAGTTGGGTCCTCCAGCCAAGTTGGGGAAGTGCCTGTCCTCCATGAAGGAACTTGATGTGGGGTGGGGTCCCTCCGCCAGCTGGAGTGAACCCCTCTGCTCAGCTTGGAACAGGCGGCGTTGTGGCGAGGCGCTCGCTGCTGGGGAGCTCAGTCCCAGGAGCGCCCACCGCACTGGCTCAGTGAGCACCCGGGGCTCCCGAAGACAAGCTGCAAACCTGGGGTTGCGTAGCCCCGCTGCTGTCTGGGGGGCTTTACGGGGCCCCCAGGGACACTGTGCCCCGGAATGAAGACCCAGCAAACTGCCCTGAGGGTGAGCTCCGCGGTGCCAGGAACCCTGCGCTTCCCTCACGCCCCCCTCACTCCCCCCCTCCCCCCCCTCCGCCTGGTGAGCCAGGCGGCCAGGCTACTTGGTTCTTACCTTTCAAGAGAGCCTGGGGTCACTGGCAGTCTCCTGCCCCTCACTGGGCTGGAGGCCTCCCTTGTGGTCTCATTAGACTCCCAGGCTCCCAGGGCCCTGCCCTCCATCCCTATGGCGGGGCTGGGGGCAGGGACAGCCCTGGGCAGCTGTGTGGGCGGAGGGTTAGGCCCAGGCCCAGGCCCACACACTGGAGGCCACTAGCTCCTCCGAGCTTAAGGCCAGGTCTGGGTTCTTGGGGCGCCTGGGCGTGTGATCAAAGCTACAGAGTTGGGGGGGGCGGGGTCAGTGGTTGGATGGAGAGCCCGTGGATAGTCAGTCGCTGTAGGAATGCCTCCTCACTTTCCCTCATTGTCAGCCGTGCTCTCAAAGCCCCTCTTCCCCTCCGCCCTCCAATGTGCGCTTGCCCAGATGGGAAATTGCCAACCATCATAAACCAGTAAAGAGAAAACACACGGAGCTCGGGCCACTGCTGCCCAAGCCACTCTATCCCGCGAGGGAGCCCCAAGCCGCACTGCGCAGAGCCAACCCAGGAGAATGGGACTCGGGACGCTGCCTGCCTGGCTGGGGCACAGGCTGCTGCCTGCCAGCTCCCTGCCCTCAGCCAGGGGACGGAGAAGCACCCCCTGTGCTGTGCAAGCTCTTGGGGCAGCACTGCACACAGTCTCTGCCCCCATGAGAACCGCCCTCTGCCTTGCTGGGTGGCTAGACTGTGTTTCGAAATTGAATCCCCGCAGTGGCCACAGAACTGACACCCAACTGTCTCAGTCCGTGGAAAAGGCCGTGGAAACAAAGCATCTACATTATAAAAGGTCAGGGGCTGTCATGACCTAAACGACCAGAGGGACGACAGGTCACCAGGAAGTGCATGGAGCACCTCTCCGTCCCTCCCCAACACCCACAGGCTCCTGTCACAGCAAGGCTGTAGGCCGGTGGGTGGGTGGGGCAGGGGGCGGGTAGTGGAGGTAGGGTGGGGGTGGGAGGGGTCAGGCAGGCACTGTGAGGCTGCGGATCAGGCCCGGAGATGCTGACTGGCATAGAAACCAACCAATCAGAACCTAATCTGGGTGAACTGCGAGGAGCCAATGGTTGCCAAGGAGGCAAAGCTTTTGAGGCTGACTGGCATAGAAACTGACCAATCAGAACCTAATCTGGGTGAACT